TGTGTGTGTGTGTGTGTGTGTGTGTGTGTGTGTGTGTGTGTGTGTGTGTCCCATCAAAACACCTGAACTCGTGCGAAGCAAGACTCGTGATCTGATCAGGTTCCAGGTGGGTTGAGGTTTACGACAAAGTAAACAAGGTAACGCAGGAAGAGCCACAATTTACATTTCCGTGATCTGAAAGTCCCTCCGATGGCGTCTACGCCCGTCTGTCACTGTAAGGAGGATCAAACACCAGATTCAAACATGTGCTCGGCTTTAGTGAGATCACACCCACTGCTGCTTTGTTCTGTTATGTGACCCGAAGTGGAGAAGCAAAAACAACTTTTAGTTTCACGCTGCTCGGTTGACAAGAGAAGCAGGAATGTAAACAGAAGTCACCAGCAGCTTGTTCCCCGGGTCGTCCTGTCGGGTTAGAGTCGGGTATACGTGTGGTTTTGGTTTCTGTAGATTCAGCTCAAACATGATGGATCTACCTGAGCTCTTTGTCACCTTTTATCTTCTCAAATAAGAATAGAAGAAGAACAAACACTGAACAGGAGCATCGGTATGCTGTTCATTTTCTTATTCTCAGGTTTCCAGTGCGAGTGTCCGTCTCTCTTTCCTGCTGAATAGATCCCAAAGTGACTTCATCAAATGTCTCGTATTGTCCGACCAACGGTCCAAAATACAGTCGTGCTCCATTCACTGTCACGTTAGACAAAAGAAAAGAAGACTTAAGAACCTGGAACCATCAAACTTTTGGAGTTTTTGCTTTAAAAAAAAGATTAAAAAGCGATTTATTGGATAATTCATGCAGCTCTGGTTTCAAGATAACTGTAGAGAACGTTCACTCCTCACACACACGTGTGTATTTATGTGTGTCCATTGAGTCTTTCAGCAAAGAACCACCTGCAACAGATGTTCTGGTTGACTTTATTTCATGGCGGTAGATTGTGTTTAGTTCTTGAATCTGTATCACGGTGTCTTTAATACCTCCACAGTGAGTTCAGACCTCGTGATGCCGACGTTGTTTTGTCCCCGTTTGAAACTAATTAATCTTCATTATAAATGAAAGAAATAACAGTTTTAAAGTCAGTCAGCATTCCATTTCACCGTGAGCACAAATTCAATTATACAGAGTTATGAAAAACAACTGTTTAATTGAAAAGATTATTTTTCTGAACGGCTTCAGAAGCTTTTTTTAGCTGCTAAACAACTCCGGCCAACATTCTGTTCTGTTACAGGTGATTAAAACACGCTGTGGCTTCTTTGTATTTCTGTAAACTGATCAAATTCATCTCGGGCGAGTCAGACGAGCACTTACAAAGAACATGAATATATATACAATTAGAAACATAAAATGTGTTTTCATACAGACTACGACGTTCGTTTGTTGCTCATCTTTCGTCGAGGCGGTGTGTTACTCCCTCTACCGCTTTTTATTCACCTTCACCACAATAGGCTGTAGATTCTTTTACGTTCCCTTTATTACGTCTCGACAAAGTCGTGTCCAGCTGTGACTTCTTCTTCTTCTTCTCCTTCTCCTCCTCCTTCTTCTTCTTCAAACCGGCAGCAGATGTCAGCAACTGTTGTCCAACTCGGACCGTAAATAACCGCCACGACGAATGTAAAATGTACATTTATTTTGTCAGATGGAACGGTCAAAAATCCATGAACAGTAGTTCTATTGGTTCCTCTGTGATACTTATATCAGTATCTCCACCCGACCAGAGCTTTGTGTATAGAGACGGTGAACTGAGGCTCTGCGTCCACCAGACGTCTTCCTCTTCTTTTATCTGACTGTCAGCTGACTGTCTGAAACACACTTTTCTGACGGGATTGATTCTTCTCGTCCCTTCGCGTGACATCTCCCGACTGAACCTCAACAAATATCTCCCCTAAAATCTCCCCTTCATGAAGAAGAAAAGATTAAGCACAAGCGCCAACTAGTCTCTGTCAAGTCTTAATGTATTATTACCGAGGAGGTGGACTTTCATCTAAAAATAACTCACCCGCAGCACAATCCTCACATCAAGGCAGTTTAAGGCCCAACTACAGTTTGTTCACATCACTCGTTCTGTTCTCGGTCGCACAATCAATCAATCAATCAATCAATTAATAATCAGAACAACATTAATATAACCGTTACAGATTGTAATGAGTTAGAAAGCTTTTTTCAAACAGGAAGTTATTTAGTCTTTAATGGCTCGTTCACAAGCACAACATTTTGTCCATTTTTTAATAAAACTCTTTAACATTTTAACCTCTGATCCGGTTCTTTGGGCGTTCCTGAACGCAGCACACGGTTCATGCGATCACAACAACAACAACAAAAACACTGAAAAATCATTAGAAAATTAGAAAATATCCGTTTCCAGGCCTTCTAAATAAACCCAGAACATTTAGTAGAAGTCATGGAGACAAAACACCTGTTTATAGAGCGTCTGTGGTTCAGTTAAGATGAACTAACATCTATAGCCCGTTGGTTATAATCAGATCAGTTAGGTCATGTGACGTTCTGTTGTTCTCAGCATGGAGTGATGTCTCACTCTGACCTTGTTATTCTTTTTCATGTATAAACAGATGTTTTTTAGAGATCATATAGTCATGAAAAGTTGCCTGAAAGACATGGAAAATATATTAGTAAAAATCTTTCATTTTAACCTCCATGTTTCCTAAATGTCTCTCCTGGTCACAGCTCTCAGTTTCTACCAAACCCTCCTTCAATGTTCCCTCTTCATATCTTCATATCTTCATAGTCTTTCTCTCCTGTGCTGATTGGAGTTTACTTAAATAGAGTTTACTTAAATAGTAATTAAATAATCTCACATACGAGATAGTGTTTATTTTTATTTTTCTTTGACAACACAATTATCAAAGATGGCAGCAACAATAAATAGAGTAAATGTTTAAAAGTCGATGTAACTTGTAATGAAACATTTCAAATGATAACTACTAATACTATTAAATATATTGAGCTTAAATTAGGATAAATATATGAGTTAAACATCATCTAACTATCTCCTGATAATCAGTATTCTACCGTTTTAATACACGGTTGTTGAGACAAACTGACAATAGTCTACGTAACAAATGAACGTTGTTCTTTCTTTATGGTTAATATCAGAGTTATGTGTGTGTGTGTGTGTGTGTGTGTGGGTGGGTTGATGTGTGTGATATAAGAGGCAGGCTATGTTACCTGCGTTACTTTGCCGCGTAGAACCTCTCAAACCTGGAACCTGGAATGACTTTTAAAAGATGTGTTTTCTGGTTTTTCTCCAGATAATCCGTTAAATCTGCTCCTTCGTGTTGTGATGTTTGTATTCTCTTTTAACGTGATCAGTTTTGCTTCTGTAATTGTTAATCCTGCTCCTCCTGCTCCCCTCGACTCCTCCTGCTCCTCTCGTCTCCTCTTGCTCCTCTCGTCTCCTCCAGGTGAAATAGATCGATGTCTGAAAAAAGTAGCGGAAGGAGTCGAACAGTTTGAAGACATTTGGCAAAAGGTGAGGAAGGATATAAACTACAGTTTGTTTAGATTGCAAGAAAATAGTCCCATCGCTATTTGCCAGAGACTTTTTTAAGTCTGATCCACAGTCTAAGATGTAATGATATTAAAAACTCAAATGGTTTGCAACTGGAATCTGTAAAATGTCCGAAAACTGTGACAAACTACAGAATAACAGAGTAAGAAAACCAGCAGAGAGAAGCTGCAACCAGAGAACTGTGGTATTAGAAATAACTTTAGATGTTAATCACAGCTATTGTTGACTATTGTTGATTATTGTTCCAGCCTCTAATTGTCATTATTTGTGTTTATTATTGGGGAGTAAATGCCGACAGAATGATGTTGAATTCCGTCTTCGGATGTTTTATTTACTGAGATTAAGATTTAGAGAAGTGAACGACGTCTCTTAGTGAAACATGTCAGTGTTTTTAAAGTGTTTATTTTCCTGCATTCTTTAAATTGATTTCCATTTTCTGCCTTGAGTTTCTGTCGTTAGCTGAGACGAAGGCCTCCGCAGCCACAGCAGTCCTTTAGAGGAGCGGGCGTCCCAGTTCCTTCACTGTACCCCCGATTATTGTGCTGCTGTGGTTGTAATGCTGATCGTTCACTAGTCTTGTTCTATCATCATTTGTATCATGTTTTTTAATAATCCATCTTGTCTCATGTTTGTCTTTTTTTCCGTGATTAATTGTGACTTTTTGCTTCTGCAACGAACATGAAATTTCCACCACAGAGATCAGTAGAGTTGCACAAAGCTAAAACAAATGTAAGTGTGCATTTAAAAAAAATGATATAACTAATAAACTGTACTTTTTTTATAAAGTGTTTATTTATTTGCATATAGTGTGTATCTTTTTTAACTGGCTTTTAATTTAATATAT